CTTACCTTGGTCACGACTGGATTGTTTTCTATATCCAACAGTGTTAATATAGTGTACACAGCTTACCTTGGTCACGACTGGATTGTTTTCTATATCCAACAGTGTTAATATAGTGTACACAGCTTACCTTGGTCACGACTGGATTGTTTTCTATATCCAACAGTGTTAATATAGTGTACACAGCTTACCTTGGTCACGACTGGATTGTTTTCTATATCCAACATGTTAATATAGTGTACACAGCTTACCTTGGTCACGACTGGATTGTTTTCTATATCCAACAGTGTTAATATAGTGTACACAGCTTACCTTGGTCACGACTGGATTGTTTTCTATATCCAACAGTGTTAATATAGTGTACACAGCTTACCTTGGTCACGACTGGATTGTTTTCTATATCCAACAGTGTTAATATAGTGTACACAGCTTACCTTGGTCACGACTGGATTGTTTTCTATACCCAACAGTGTTAATATAGTGTACACAGCTTACCTTGGTCACGACTGGATTGTTCTTCTATATCCAACAGTGTTAATATAGTGTACACGGCTTACCTTGGTCACGACTGGATTGTTTTCTATACCCAACAGTGTTAATAACTGTCCAGTCTTTATCAGCATGGTCATCTTCTATGTCACAGTCAGTTATTGGATTCCATTCAATAACTTGTTGATCAACCTAGTATGTTTAAAATAAAATATGGATAAAAACATATCTGTTAATACCATATTCAAACACATTTCCAACCAAATGCCCACCCCCTGCTTTTGCACAATTTAATTTTTTAGGTCACATTCCCTAAAGTGCTCACTCTTACATTTGATTTTCCGCATAATGTAGAATCTCGCAGTGACCAAAAAATTGTGAGTATGGGATCACTGTACTGCTTTCATGCACTCTTAACAGTATTTTTTATAACCTTATATTATCCTAAATACTTGTATACGCCAGGTTACAAATAATATCACGATGTGGAACCACAAAGGTAAATCTGTCTCACTGGTAGCATAGTGGTTGTTGCATCAGACTCATGATCGGTAGACCCAAGTTCAAATTCTACCTTAGGCTGAACATCAAAAAGGTCTACCCCTACCCTGGGTGAGTGTGCCACAGACTCAATGGGAAGGCCAATTCCACTGGCTGAGATTAATTCACTAACGAATGCGACTTTGAGGGAACCTTGATGCCAGGCACAGCCCTGTCATGTAGTTCCAAATATGAATATGACTTCTGTGGCAAAAATGCACCATGTGTCAGCACTATTTGCACATACAAAAAAGAAGTCGGAGAGACAACAGTGACATTCAATGTCCAGAACTGTAGCCTGGCACAAAAAACATCTGTCTCAATAGTCCACTGATTAAACATGAAAACAAATTTAAAAAAAAAAAAAAAACATGAAAAAAACATAGTCAAGGCTGTAAGTAG